ACCTGAGATTAGAATCCAAATCTTCGTAATCCTAAGCATGTCCAACAAGAAGGGACTAGTAAGCTCCGAAGTGTTAGACGATTGATGTTAGTTTTACTTAAAGAGACGAAAGTGAAAAGAATAAAAGGATATGATTTTTCTTTAATTAAATAAATTTTTTTTTGAAAACGAAATAAAGAAAATAAAAATTTTTTAATTTATCAATTAAATAAATAATTAAAATAAAATATTCATATATTTTTATTTAAAAAAATTAAAAACAAAAATAAATTATAATACATTTTAATAGAGAATAAAAATTATCAACGATTTAAATAATTGAATAATTATCTTTTTTTATTAAAAATAAAAGTTCTTAAATTCGAGTCAAGTCAGGTTATCTTTTTCAATTGAAAATAAAAAATTTTGAATTCGAATCACATGATATATAAATAAAGTAAAATAAAAGATAAAACATAATTATTTCTTATTGTACTAACAAAATAAAAAAATATTATATGGAGAGAATAAAAACCTAAGGCCGAGGAGAGAGGGAAGAGGCTCCAAGATCCTTTATCTTTTCTCTTACTCTCCTTTCACTTTCAACTTCCTCCATACAAATAAAGTGTTAACAAAGTGGTAGAGAGAATCAAAGAGTACTTGTTGTCAGACGTGAAAAAGGTCAGACACGTACAGGCAGTTACAAAAAGTGGGGTTGAAAATCATGGGAAATACCTCTAGAATGAAGGTGAAAGAAAACCTCGAGGAAAAATTCAGTTTTTTAGGCCTGCCCTCTTGGAAAATTTCCCAAGCACACATCAATCTTAGCTTTAAATTGATTTGCCATCTTTTGCACGATCTCTCTACTGAAGCTCAAAGATTTACTCTTGTTCTTAGTTTTAGTATGAATTTTTTGTTTCATTTGAAGCTTTCTACAAAAATTGCAACTTTTTGTAGTATTTGGGAATTCAGAAGTCATCCTAAAAAATAAATGATAAAAATTTTATACAAGTATAATAATAAAAATTTTGCGTAAGTAATACCTATCTGTAAATAAATCTCTCTTCTACATATTGTCGCCTTTCTGGTTTCAGTTAATTCACCAAACTTGCTTGCAAATCCCCAACTATTTCCAACCAGTTAAGTAGAATCTTACTATTGTATCCTTCTTTTCATGGAGGGAGAATCCATGAAATTGCTTGTTTTGCTTTATTTTCTATTGTGGTGCAATTTGTTTTACACGTCTGTCTTAAAACCATGTAATCTGTCTCTCATCTCACGGTTAATCAAGGACAACTGTAATTTTCTATTTATAGAGCATTTTCTTTTTATGTATCATGCTCTCATTATTTTTCAAAGGATCAACATAGTGATTTTTAAATCTTGTCAAATGATGCAGGTAGACTTACTTTCATCGTATCTCAAAGAAAAATCTTAAAAGCTACGAGCAAAACCATTAAAGTGTTTACACTTCATTTTTGTAAAACAAACGTTTCTCTCTCCTGTTAGTGAATACCTGACCAAAATATTATTCAGCACTTTAGAAGAATCTGAACTTTCACCAGGTATGCAATGTCAAGCTCTACAAGTCTTGCATAAGGGATTTCTATGCTAACAGTAAAATTAAGATTTTGCATTTTGACATTTGAATTGTGTTAACTCATCTTTCAAAATTTGCAGATCATTTTGTTTAGGCTGTGTTGGGATTAGGCCCAATGCCCACTTCGGGCCACATATAACAGACCCAACTACGCACACACAAGCCCAAGAGGAGGAGACATACCCACGTGAGTAGCACCACGTGGGCCAATGGGTTACTTACATGTGTTGGTGCATGTCAGCATTTGGGGGTATAAATACCCCTCAACTACCAACAATGGAGGTAATTAATCTCTACGCTTCTCTCTCTGCAATTACTCCTTGAGAGCATCTCTCTCTAAAATATTGAATATTGCTGACTTGAGCGTCGGAGTGTTTTCCCCGAGGAAACATCCTTGGGATTTACAGGTGTAGAAGCAGCTGAGGACTTCAACAGTGTTGAATTGCGAAGCTGCCCAAACATTTGGCACCGTCTATGGGAACTGGAACAGGAAGTGGTGTAGCTTAACCTGCTGAGAAACAAAATGGTTCGTACTTTTACAGGAGGTCGCCCCCCAAGAAATGAAATGGACGAACAGGAGGACGCCTAAGTATCTAAGCCCGGCCTGAATGACTTTAGGCCAATGCCAAGAAACCTTTTCGTCAGGGGAGTGGAACAGGATCACCTAAGTGAAACAGATGATGAAAGAACACCAACTGGGTATGCAACCCAACCTGAACAGTTCCAAGTCCCAACAAGAACGAGACAAAGACCTTCTAAACCACACAATTCACAGCATGAATGACCTGAAAGGTCAACAGAACCCGCTCGGACAACCGAGCTCGAAGAGAGAACCAGAATTCTCGAAATGGAAATGGGTAAAATCCTTGCCCGCCTGATCCCTGATGACCCCTTGATTCCATTGTTGAACAGGGATGCACAACCAGCTGCGGTTGTTGCAACTCGAAACTCCCCTGCTCTGAGCAACATAGTGGTGCCGACTAGGCCGAGGGGAAGCGGGAAGCTAAATAACGAGCCCAGCTCGTCCAAACATAGTGAAGAACTGATGAGGAAAAATGCAGACCTAGAAAGACAGCTAAGGGACATACAGAAATCTATCGACGAGCTGAAAAGTCCTAGGTCGCACCAACAGACTCTTGATTTGGATAGTGCTCCTTTAAACCTATCCATCACAATAGAGCCGTATCAAGAGGGATTCAAAATTCCCCACCTGGAGACATGTGATGGCTCGGGCAACCCTGATGAACATCTGCACACTTATCAAGCCATCATGAGAATCCAAAATGCCAATGATGCCATGATGTGCAAAGTGTTCCCAGCAACACTTAAGTCGACAGCCAGGAGATGGTATCACAAACTCCCCAGACATTCCATAGACTCATATTCCCAGCTTGCCAAGCTATTCTCCAACAAATTTGTGAGCCAAAGGGAGATTAAACGTACAGCGACCAAACTAATGCAGGTTCATCAGAAAGAGGGAGAATCTTTGAGGGACTACATGTAACGATTCAACAAAGCTACTTTGGACATTGATAACGTCCCCGATACCATTTGCTTATCTGCCTTGTTGCATGGTTTGAAGCTTGGTCGGTTTTTGGATGACCTGCTGGAGAATCCACCCAAGTTGTGGAATGACATAAATGACAGGTCGGCAAGCTTTATATTATCCAAAGATTTTCAATCTTCTAAGAGACGGGCTGATGACAAGCAAGGAAAAGAGCCCAAGCAGCCTGAAAACAGAGATGACAAGAAGAAACAGAAGGTTGGCGAGCAAAGAGGGAAACCACCTTCTTATCCAAAATATGATAGCTACATTCCCCTGAGCTCGTCACGATCCCAGATATTGGCGCAGATATAGCATTAGGTCAAGAGACCCCCTCCACAAACGCATGATTCTTCACGAGCTGACAGAAGCAAATACTACGACTATCACCGTGTCTACTGCCATAACACAGAAGACTGTCAGAGTCTGAAGGACGAGCTCGAATTCTTGGCTCGCAATGAAAAATTGGAGGGGTATGTGCAGAAACCTTTTGTTCGGCAACCAACCCAGACCCACTTTGTACAAGAGTACGGCCGATCTCAAGCACCTGGATATCAGCTTAGTAGCAATCAAAATTCTTACCAGGCAGGTCCGTACTCATCTAAGCCGAACAAAGCATACAAGGGACGCCCGTTCAATAGGTGTGGGCAAGGACCGAAGGCATCTGCACAGAACCAAAAGGACCATAGAGGGGTTGGGTATGGTGGAATACCCTCGCCATCTGGCACAATCAATATGATCTCTGGTGGTATGCATGCAGGAGGTCAAAGCGCCCGAGGCCGCAAGGCATACGCTCACCAGGTGATGACAGTAAATAAGAACTGACCTCTTAAGCGCCCATTTGAAGAAGTGGAGTGGGACAATGCTACCATTACGTTTAGTCCGACAGATTACCAGCGAGCAGAAGGGGAGTCCGATGTCGTGATGCCTCATGCAGATCCCTTTGTAGCAACAGTCTATATAGGCAATCATAACGTCAATAAGGTTTTCATTGACACTGGTAGCTCCCTCGATATCCTGTATTGGAGCTGCTTCCAAAAGATGCAGCTGAACCCCAACTCGTTACAAAAATATGATGGGCCTATCTATGCGTTTGATAATCAACTTGTCCCAGTGGAGGGAGTAATTACACTTCCCATTTATGTGGGTTCAGAACCACGCTTCAAGATGGCTTCAGCCAGCTTCTTGGTCATCAAAATGGAGTCAGCTTTCAACGCCATATTAGGAAGGGCTACTCTGTGCGAGCTGAAGGTTGTTATCTCACAACCCCATCTCTGCATGAAATTCCCAACGCCTCAGGGGATAGGAGTGCTAAAGGGGAATCAAAAGATGGCTAGAGCATGTTATCAAGATACATTTAAGAAGGTTCAGCTCGTTGTAGCCCCGAGAGGCTTTGGAAGTAGTAGGCCAACTCAGCCCGGCCAGCAAACAATGGGCATATCGGACATTGAGCATAGACCTGAGGGTGTCGAGCAGAAAGCAAAGCCGGTAGAGCCAGTAGAAACCATTCCTTTAAACCCTAATGTGCCGGAAAGAACAGTCAAGATCGGCACCAAGCTCACAAAAGAAGAACGAGCAGAGCTTCTGGAGTTTTTGAGGGTCAATCAAGATGTGTTTGCGTGGACTACGGATGAAATGCCTAGCATCCCTACAGAATTGACAGTCCACAAACTCATCACGGACCCCACCAAAAGGCCGGTGGTGCAGAAACGTCACCTTTTTGGCCCGGAGAAGCAGGCTGCTATAGATGAAGAAATACAAAAGCTGCTACAGGCAGGCTCCATCAGGAGAGTGGAATACTCTGAGTGGGTATCCAACCCGGTGCTCGTTAAAAAACCAAATGGCAAGTGGAGGATGTGTATTGACTTCACCAACTTAAATGAGGCATGTCCAAAAGACCCTCATCCCTTGCCTAATGTGGAGAAGCTAGTAGAACGGGCAACCGGGCATGAGCAGATGAGTTTCCTTGACTCTAGCTCGGGGTATCACCAGGTTCAGTTACTGTTGGATGACCAGGAGAAAACAACTTTCTATGCTGGTGACGCAATCTACTGCTATGTCATGATGCCGTTTGGCTTGAAAAATGCTGGCGCTACATATCAGAAGCTGGTGCAAATCATCTTCAAGCTACAGATTGGCAGGAACATAGAAGTATATGTGGATGACATGATAGTCACCAGTGTACGAGCTGAGGATCATATAGACGACCTGAGTGAGACTTTTCAAAACTTGCGCCGAGCCCAAATGAAGCTGAATCCCTTGAAGTGCATGTTCGCTATAGAATCAGGAAAATTCCTAGGGTACGTGGTATCCAAGAAGGGAATTGAAGTGAACCTAGAGAAGGTTCTTGCCGTTCAGCAGATGGAGCCTCCCAAGACTGTAAAGGATGTGCAGCGCCTGACAGGTCGTGTAGCCGCGTTGCACAGATTCATAGTCAGGTCGGCAAAAAGGTGCCTACCATTTTTCAAAGCCTTGCGAGAGCCCAAGCATTTTCAATGGACTAACGAGTGTCAGCGGGCGTTTGACGAGCTCAAGCAGTACCTGGCATTTGCACCCCTGCTGTCCAAGCCTGTGGAAAGGGAGAGTTTATACCTATACATGGGGGTTACAGGAGAGGCAGTGAGCTCAGTCTTGCTTAGGGAAGAGAATAAGAATCAGAAGCCCATCTGCTATGTGAGCAAGGTTTTACAAGGTGCAGAGCAAAACTACCCATTAGCAGAAAAGGCTGCCTTTGCCCTGGTTTACACAGCCCGTAAGTTGAGGGCTTACTTCCAATCACATCATATTGTTGTCTATACCGACTTGCCATTGAGAAAAATACTGAAAAAACCTAAACTCTCTAGTCGACTTATTGGATGGAGCATCGAGTTGAATAAATATGACCTCAAATTTCAGCCGCGCATAACCATAAAAGGCCAGGCCGTTGCAGACCTTCTGGTGGAGTGCATCCCAGTGACAAAGGAAGAAAAAACACCTGAACACCCAGTCTGGGTTTTGCATGTTGATGGAGCTGTTAACGTTGAAAGATTGGGTGCCGGGGCTGTGTTAATGGGCCCAGACGGTTTTAAATCTGAGCACGCACTGAGGTTTAAGTTTTAGACGACTAATAACGTTGCAGAATATGAAGCCCTCATTTACGGATTGAAGCTGGCGTCCGAGCTGAAGGTACAAAGCATTCAGGTTTTTAGCGACTCTCAGCTCGTTGTGGGCCAGGTGAATGGCAGTTGTGAAATCAGGGATCCCCAGCTCAGTCGTTATGCCTATGTGGTTAACAGATTGAAGTCAATGTTTGTCTTTTTCCAAATTGATAAAATACCAAGAGCAGATAACCACCGAGCTATCAAAGTTGGCCTCCTCGCAGGACCTTAACCCTCAGAGATCAACAATTGTCGGGGTACTTGACACCCCGAGCTACACCGATCTCACAGTCGAGTGCCAGCTGCTAAGCACAGACCCCTCCTCACCAAGCTGGACTACCCCGCTCATGAATTATCTACGAAGTGGCGAGCTACTTGAAGATTCGTCCGTTGTAAAGTGGGTCAGATGCAGGGCGGCGCATTTCACTTTGATAGATAATCAACTTTACAAACGAGCAGCCTTAATGCCCTTATTACGCTGCCTCACTCCTTATGAAGCTGAATACACCGTGAGGGAAGTTCATGAAGGAGTATGTGGTACACACATAGGAGGCAAGACTTTAGCTCGGAAACTCCTTAGGCAGGGGTATTACTGGCCAACTATGGTTGAAAATGCACAGAATTATGTCAAGAAGTGCCCGACCTACCAGTTCAACGCTGACAATATCCACATGCCAGGTATCCGAGCTCGTTCTAAAGTTTGTGCAAACTTTGTGTTTGTCTATAAACTGAGCACAAGCATCTTTGTTCAAACAGGAGAAATGCTCTCATCACTTTCATCTCCTTGGCCTTTTGCTCAATGGGGAGTCGACTTGCTCGACCTTTTCGTGAAAGGCAAAGGAGTATGCACCTACCTTGTTGTCACGGTAGATTATTTCGCCAAGTGGATAGAAGCTAAACCATTGTCCACGACAACAGAAAGGAAAATAGAAGAATTCCTATTCAATTCAATATTATGCAGGTATTCTTTGGTGACTTAAGCCATTGGCACATTGTATATAAGTATAATCTGCGGCTCAGCTCGGTTATCTGTTTTCAGGTTTGGCATACCTAAACGAATCATAGCTGACAATGGTCTGCAGTTCCGAGCCACAACACTGAGGTCGTTTTGCAATGATTATGGAATTGAGCTCACCTTGACATCTGTGTATACTCCACAATCCAATGAGCAAGCCGAGTCTGCCAATAAAATCGTCTTGCGCGGCCTCAAGACGCGTGTTTTGGCTACACATACTAATTGGGTTGACGAGCTCAATAAAGTGCTTTGGTCATGCCGCACTACACCCAGCTCGGCCACAGGCGAAACCCCGTTTAGTTTGGCATATGGAGCTGAGGCCGTCATCCCTATCGAGGTTGGATTGCCATCTGATAAATCAGATCATCATGACGATCATAATAATGGGCAACTCTTAAGAGAGAACCTAGACCTAGTGGAGGAAGTCAGGGAGATGGCTCGAATTAGAAACATGACGCACCAAAGTCGTGTTGCAATGTTTTATAACAAAAGAGTTCGAGCCCGTCAGTTTCAGGTCGGTGATCTAGTTCTGCGCAAAGCTGGATTAACTAATACTTATTCGCACATGGGCAAGCTCGCTCCTAATTGGGAAGGCCCTTATATGGTTATTAATATTAAGCGACCTGGGTGTTACCAACTAGCAGATTTACAAGGTCATCCGTTACCATTCATCTGGAACATACACAACCTTAGAAAGTTTTACACTTAACATTTTGATGTTATTGTCTTAATTCAAATTATCGCCAATCAAATGTAAAGAGCAATGTATAGAACAATGCATAGCAATATACACAGAAATCTTGAAACAAAAGATTCGAATTTGTATTTCATCAATGAATTTTTACATGTGTAGTACATATGATAAATGAGTTCATTGATTAACACAAAAATACAAAAAGAAATACAAAAAAGAGAACAAAAAATCCTAAGCTAGTCGTCCGTCAGGTCGACAGGGATGGATGCGTTGTTAGGCTCCAAAGTAGACCGAGCAAGAGATGGCCGATCTGGAGCAGAAGGAGCAGAAGCAACGACTGCAGTGGGCAGAGGTTGAGGCTGAGTAGGAGGACTGTTGGAAGGTTCAACAGACACGTCCTGGGGGCCTGCCACCCAAGCGTCAAAGCTTGGCAACCCTTATGTGTCCTCCCCTTCTTCTATTATAGTAGGGGGCCACACGGGCAGCTCCTCCTCATTGAGCTCCCATTTCATCCTCACCCTGGTATCTGCTGAAGGGGCGAGACTCTTCCCTTCACCGTCGATCTCCTCGCCCTCAAAGAAGGCCAGCTCGCCGATGGGAAAATCAACCCGAACTTGTAGCACCTTTCCATGAACCTCGTTGAAAATGTTCGTGGTGGTGTTGGCAGAGGCGACTGCAACGGCATCTTGGAACATCTCTGCTCCTACCAGCCATTCAGCCCTATGCACGGGCAAAGCAGACGTCGCGTTGGTGAAGCCTCTTGGTGCTCTCCAGGGATGCCTCTGCTCGTGCGACATGCTGGTCGAGTTGAGACACCCTTTCCCTTAAGGCGCTCAGCTCATGTAGGGTCTTCTCTTTCTCAGATTCTGCCTTCCTAGCTCATTCCTCTACACGGCTGAGCTCCTCCTTGGTAGCCTGGATGCCGGTGTCCTTCTCCACCTGAGCTCGCTGGAGCTCCTCCTGAGCCCGCTGGAGCTCCTCCCTCAGCTCGTCTACCTTACCAGCCAACTCGTCAGCTCGGCTCTCTGTTGACGCGGCCCAGTTAGCCATTTCTGAGCTCTGCAAGCGGCTGACCTTGTCAGCCAAGCTGGCCTTCTCAGACGCCAACTGCTTGCAGTTATGTTCCAGCTCGCGGTTCTGCACTTGCGCTCCCTGTTCGCACTCGAAGAGTGCAACAGTGTAGCTGAACGCCTACAACACGTGTTCACTCATCAGTTTATAACAAAAACGTGATAAAATACAGTAACGAGCTTGGCAAGTGTACTTACATCCATCAGCTTGATTAGAGCAGCATGTCCCCCACACTGTTGAATATGCCCCTTCGCGCGCAGCTGGTCTGTAGGGGGCACAAAGTTCTGCATACCCTGCAGCATGGCAGCATGGCACTTAGTTCGCACGTAGCTGAAGCCATCCGGGTATGCAATCCTAGGCCCTGTCA